AGATACATTTTACTAGACCACTGTATACAATAGGACTTGCCCATCCATGGATTTGGGTATGCGCAGGATAACCAAATCCAGAGCCTAGAATACTATTTGCATTTGAATTCCCAGAACCTCTAGCCAGTATGGGCTGTGTTTGGAACACTTTTAGAGATGTAAAGGAATATTTCAAGTTTTTATTGGTATCTATTTTTATTTTGAAATTTACTAGTAGCTGCTGCATTTCCCACCCTCAGCTTATACTCGCGTCAATACATTTCCCCAGTTTTTTGTGGTAAAATTAGGTGCCTCGGCTTATATTCGGGTCGGCTTATACTCGAGTATATATGGTATTATTCTTTTTTTCTTGCGTTTATAGCATGGCTATCTAATTCTGGTCACATTGCATGAAGTAATGGCCCTATAGTATCAAAAGGAGCTATTAAGTCACCAATACAGAGATTGCTCCTTTTGATTTTCTATTCAGGTTGTCATGAGACATGCAGCTAATGCATGGAAATCCCCAGTACAAATCATTTTGAGATAAATTACCTGCAGAGATTTTCCTCTTGAGCTAAAGAATTACTTCCACATTATTTTAGGGTTGTTGCCTCAAGCTTCCCACTTCTATTAAACACACAATCAAAACCCATATCAGTGGATATTTCCTAGGGCTCTCAATGGATCTAGTAGTTTTTTTAAAGGAAGCGAGCTGACTCTTGATTAATTTTTCAATTAAAAACATGCAGTATTTTGACACAGATGTACCTAGTGGATTATTAATTATGGTAATATATTTTCTTGATGGAACAGCACATTGTAAGAATCCCCCTAGCCATAGTTGACTGGCATTGCTGCTATCATGTCTGTGGTTGCTATCATAACCACCAAGAATTGTATGAATGTATCTTTTCCTTGGATTTTCTTGCACAGAAGAAAGGAAATTTTGGCATCTGGGCTCATTCCAGCACATGGTAGTTCCTCAGCTGCTTCATAAGAGCCGCCGCAAACTAGGCTCCTGCGGGAGCAAACCTTGCCAGCACGTCCCTGACGTCATGAGGCTGCGCCTCTCGCCCCGCCCCTTTCTCAGCCTCTTTCTCCGTGCCAGAGTGGTTTTTCCTTTGCTAGGGCAGCATTGCCAGCGTACTCTCTCAGTTGGCAGAATTCAACTGAGAGAGTATGCTGGCAATGCTGCCCTAGCAAAGGAAAAACCACTCTGGCACGGAAAAGGAGGCTGAGAAAGGGGCGGGGCAAGAGGCGGAGTCTCATGACGTCAGGGACGTGCTGGCAAGGCTTGCTCCCACAGGAGCCTAGTTTGCGACGGGTCTAAATGACCTGGGTGAGCCTCTCTCCCTCTCTAGTGAAGAAAATTTTCCCCATGTATTGCTCACCACTACAACTGGAGAGATTGTGTGCATCCTCCCAGAGGAAGAAGTGTGTGGCAGATCCCACTGTTGCTGTAATTGGAGATGACAGTAGAATTTTCACCCCACTTCACTTCTCTGGTTTTCTGATTGGGAAAGGTGCTTGGAGGAGCCAGGAAAAGTTGAATCTCTGCATAGCCATGAAGCTGGGAAAAATTCTCCTCAAGTGGCACACTTAGGCGATTTCTCGTTGTCCGAGTAGGATAATCCTCCAGGGTGGGTCCGTAGGTGACTATGGAGCCCTACATTGTCTCCTGCAGTGAGGGCATTGGTTTCCAGGTGAAAGGCGGTCTCGGTCGGGGTTGGCTTGACGTGCCTTCCTCTTGGCATGCTTCTCTCTTTCACCCTCCATTCGTGCCTCTTCAAATTCTGCAGCACTGCTGGTCACAGTTGACCTCCAGCTGGAGCGCTCACAGGCCAGGGCTTTCCAATTCTCAGTGTCTATGCCAGAGTTGTAAAGGTTGGCTTTGAGCCCATCTTTAAATCTCTTTTCCTGCCCGCCAACATTCCGTTTTCCATTCTTGAGTTTGGAGTAGAGCAACTGCTTTGGGAAATGGTGGTCAGGTATCCAGACAATGTGGCTGATCCAGAGTTGATGGCGGAGGACCATCGCTTCAATGCTGGTGGTCTTTGCTTCTTCCAGCACGCTGACATTTGTCCGCTTGTCTTCCCAAGAGATTTGCAGGATTTTTCGAGGCAGTGCTGATGGAATCGTTCCAGGAGTTGCATGTGACGTCTGTAGACAGTCCACATTTCGCAGGCATACAGCAGGTTGGGAGGACAATAACTTTATAAACAAGCACCTTGGTATCCCTACGGATGTCCCGGTCCTCAAATACTCTCTGCTTCTTTCGGAAAAATGCTGCACTCGCAGAGCTTAGGTGTTGTTGTATTTCAGATGCTACAGCGCATGTGCAAAAGCGAATCCCAATAGCATATCCACACTCACTTCCAGACTACAGCTCCCAGCATTCCCTAGAACAGGGCCTTTAGGAGAGGAGGATGATCCAAATGCATTGCTTCCAAGACGCAAGCTTTATTCTCCTTGGATTTCTTTGAGAGCATCCCAATCCCTGCATATTTCCAATTTCCTATTCCTGGACTGCAACTTCCAGCAATCCACCAGATAGATAGATTAGATAGAAATAGATAGGTAGGTAAATAGATAGAACAGGAGGACTGCTGGGAGTTGCAGTCCAAGAATAGGTAGAGAAGGAAGAAAGGGGAGAAAGAGGAAGGGAAAGAAAAGGGAAGGAAAGAAAGAAATGAGAGAAAGAGGGAGGGAAGGTTGGCCACAGCAACGCGTGGCGGGTACAGTATTAAAATAATAATAATAATAATAATAATAATAATAATAATAATAATAACAATAATAATAATAATGTATTGTCGAAGGCTTTCATGGCCGGAATCACTGGATTGTTGTAGGTTTTTTCGGGCTATATGGTCATGTTCTAGAGGCATTCTCTCCTGACGTTTTACCTGCAACGGTGGTCAGTTGATACATTCACACCTAGCTCCAACAGAGAAGTTTTTGTCCCACCCTGGTCATTCCACAGATATATAAAACCCATTTTCCTAATTCCAACAGACCTCACTACCTCTGAGGATGCTTGCCATAGATGCAGGCGAAACGTCAGGAGAGAATGCCTCTAGAACATGGCCATATAGCCCAAAAAACCACAACAACCCAATAATAATAATAATAATAATAATAATAATAATAATAATAATACTTTATTTATACCCCACCACCATCTCCCCAAAGGGGACTCATGGTGGCTAACATGAGGCCAAGCCCGGTAATACATTTCAGCAAAAAGTAACAAAATGAAATATCAAACGCATTGGGCGGGCCAAATGAACGACATAAAATGATAAAACTCTGGATGAGATAAAAATAAAAAGGGATATTTGTAAGGGAGGAGCTCGTAGGGGATGGAATAGTGGAGACAGGCCTTCAGAAAGGTGGAGGGAAGTGCAGTATGAGGACAACGTTATGGGAGGAAATGATTCTGGGAGCTAGAATGCACGGCTCTGATCTTCATACTTGTAAAATTTACATGAATACACACTTTGAATAATATTGCTCAGCTTTCTATATCTTGTGGTTTCAATAACACTTTGTGTTCTGTCGCACGCTGGGCTTGAAACGAATTGCTTTTAAAACAGGACGTGCAACTTTAGCCCAGTGGGAAGCCAGGGGCCCCGAAGAGAAATTCGTAAGGATTTTCATCATAAACAGTCTTTAGAGGGATTGTGAAATATAACAAAGTCTTTATTGGTGAACAATCAACAGAAACTTCTTTTGTCTTCAAAAGGTTAAACAAATGCTTCTAGGCTTTGTGCAACTGGTGGCTTCTGTTATTTTACTCTAAAGGAAAATCCCTTTCCAAACTTCTCCCAGGCTAACTGTGAACCTAAACCTAACTGATGCGGGCTCCACTACCGGGTTGAACTGCGTCTCAAAGCACCGAGTGGACCTACCAGTAGGCCTGTAGTCACTTCAGCAGGAGTTCTTAGATGTCCAAAGCTGTTTTTCCCTCCGAAATTCCTCAGAGCTTTAGGGCTGTTTCCCTGGGAATCTTTGGGAATCCTTTTGCTCTTAAGACTGGTCTCCCCTGGGAGGTCTTAAGGGTTGAAGCCTTTGTACAGGAGAAGTCTGTACACGTCCTGTACATTGACTTTCCTTGCTGAGACTGACTGAAAATGGCTCCCTTCCCTTCTCAATTGTCCTGAACAGGGGGCGGAACCGAACTTAATGATGATTGCCCTATAAGTGCAAACTTTAACAGGAAGCCACCCTTCTGCAGAATCCCAAGCCTTGGGCTGCAAGCAAACACTTAATACAAGGCAAATAAAGTGGGAGCTTCTGGTACAGCTGTATCAGCACACTTTGAGAATGTGGATTCTATACCTATACATACTTTGAGGAAATAGGTCTTCTTTGCCCCACCTTCTTTTTCAGTGTCCACATCGGAACCCCCTTTCTCACTTTTAGATTTAGGAATGGTCATACTCTGGTCCCAAATACTTACGTCTCATCTGTGAAAGCAATTCCAAAGTATTCCTTCTCTTTCAGATTGAAATGGGATGCCACCAGGTCAAGCAGCTCCTTGGCCAAAAGCTTTGGCTGTAAGATAAGGGGGGGTAGGGAAACATACACAGATGTTTAGACAAACAGCATCAGTACAAGAGACTCAAGGAGGAGGAGAAAGGAGGCTTGTGCCCTCTCTAACAATTTCGTGTGAGGCTGAAACATCTGCAGAATGACAGTATCTTTTCTGCTGCCACAGTTGAGATGGGAAGAGGCTGGCTCAGTCGGGCTTCACATACTACAGCATTGTGCTCTGCCCCTGGCAATGCCTGGTAGCTATGGATCAGATGCAACCCTAGTCATTCTGTAAATAAGCAATTACGTTGCACAGGCAGAAAGATTGGCACCAGCCTCTAAGCCTGCATGCACACAGAACTCTGAGAAGTATGGTATAGTGTGTGTTTGTTGACAGCAGGGTCCCCTTTTGGCAGCTGCATGAATGGGGGTCAGCTAATCCTTCCCAGCTGAGCTGGTCGTAGAAGCAGTCACAATAGTCACAGTGAGTGAAGTCATTAGATGGCCTTGTGCTAAGGGGATTCTTCCCTAGCGATATCTCTTTCACATCTAAGGATTCATAATGGTTGTTTTCTCCTCTAGCTTCCATCTGTCTGGAACTGCCGATTGGAGCCTGGTCTCCAGAGACCTCGGGCCAACACCCAAACCACTACAACACACTGCCTATCGAGGAAAATAATAGCTGTTGAAAATATCATGCAGTCCTCTGGTATATTTAATAAGCCAAATAAATGTGATGTGTTGTTTCTTCGTCTATATAAATAAAAATGTAATGTTTGTTTGTGGGATTAACATAACTCAAAAACCACTGGACAGATTGACACCAAATTTGGACAGAATACGCCTAACAACCCAATGAGTGGCCATCACTAAAAAAATTGATATTGTCATTTGGAAGTCGTAGTTTCTGGGATTTCTAGTCTTCTATATAAATAAAAATGTAATGTTCGTTTGTGGGATTAACATTACTCAAAAACCACTGGACAGATTGACACCAAATTTGGACAGAATACGCCTAACAACCCAATGAGTGACCATCACTAAAAAAATTGATATTGTCATTTGGAAGTCATAGTTTCTGGGATTTCTAGTCTTCTATATAAATAAAAATGTAATGTCCGTTTGTGGGATTAACATAACACAAAAACCACTGGACGAATTGCCACCAAATTTGGCCACAAGACACCAATAATAATAATAATAATAATAATAATAATAATAATAATAATAAACCTTTATTTATACCCCGCTACCATCTCCTGCAGGACTCGGTGAGGCTTACAAGAGGCCGAGCCCAAATACATCATAAAATATAACAACAATACAATAATAAATAACTCATAACAAAACAAAACAATACAATAATGACATGACGCAATTAAAAACCTGTGGCAGGGCCAAATGTAAGAATTAAAATTTTAAAATGCTGGGCATGTCCAGGGAAATAGGTTGGATATTTAAAGAAAGGTGGGCATGCAGACAGTACTAACTCTCTCGTAAAGTGCATTTGGGGCACATTGCTTGGGAGTCCTTATTCTGGGAAGGCACACTGAAACATCCACGTCTTCAAGCTCCTTCTAAAAACTGCCAACGTTGGGGACCTACTAACCGAAGGAGTGACCATCATTAAAAAAATGATTTTGTCATTTGGGAGTTGTAGTTGTTGGGATTTATAGTTTACTTACAATGAAAAAGCATTCTGAACTCCACCAATGATGGAACTGAACCAAATGTGGCATACAGGAGTCCCATGACCAACAGAAAACACTATCAAGGTTTGGTGGGCATTGACCTTGAGTTTGGGAGTTGTAGTTCACCTACATCCAGAGAACACTGTGGACTCAAACAATGATGGATCTGGACCAAACTTGGCACAAATATTCCATATGCCCAAATATGAACACAGATGGAGTTTGGGGAAATAGACCTTGACATTTGGGAGTTGTAGTTGCTGGGATTTATAGTTCACCTACAATCACAAGAGCATTCCTAGGCATTCTCTCCTGACGTTTCACCTGCATCTATGGCAAGCATCCTCACTACCTCTGAGGATGCTTGCCATAGATGCAGGTGAAACGTCAGGAGAAAATGCCTCTAGAACATGGCCATATAGCCCGAAAAAACCTACAACAACCCAGTGATTCCGGCCATGAAAGCCTTCGACAATCAAAGAGCATTCTGAACCACAAATGACAGAATTGGGGCAAATTTCCCACACAGAACTCCCATTACCAACAGAAAATACTTAAGGCCATCCAGTCCAACTCATTTCACCGGGGCAAGAAACGTAATCAAAGCCCTCCTGACAAAAAGCTATCCAGCCATAGATATAGATAGATATATATGATTCACACACAGAGAGATATAGTATCATAGATTTGAAAGGGAGCCCTAAAGAAGAATAATGATATGTTGCATGCTCCAGAGTAGGCAAACCAGACAATCTCCACGTCAACACTGACAAAGAAACAGCAAGAAATACTGTTTACCCAACAAGCATAAAGAAATTACAAATATTAGAAATAACATTTTCTCATTACTTTATTTCCCAGATCACCTGACTGGGCCACAGCAATGCGTGGCAGGGGACAGCTAGTTCTGTGAATAAAGAGATTGCTAATTATGTACATAAGGTCAACTTTTTTTGGGGGGGGGCACACTGAAGATGTCATGCATGCCCTTCCCATCTCTTCCACCTTTTGTTTCCCGATTAATAAAATATGTAGTTTTGCAACAAAACACCCTTAGTTACAACTACATTTCCTTCCTGCTTCATAGTACAAATGGGCTGGATAGTATTTCTAGTCATCTAGGATCTCTGCTCCTGGAAGCTACTGAAAAAGTCACATCACATTTTTAAAACATGTTGCATGAGATAAGAAAGGACAGCCCTTTCTTATGGGAGATGAAGGTGGTGGAAAGAACAATAGATGAGACATAGCCAGCACTGGCAGTAAGCCAGGTTACTTACTAGCTCAGTTCCCCTGAGGGGCTTTAAGACTGTGAAGTTAAGCCTTTTGTCCTTTTGCAAGATTAGTTGCTATCCTAAACTTTCTTATGGAGTTTAGCATGGGGAGTTTAGCATGGGGAGACTGATTCTGATGTCTGGATTACGTCGTTTTCGCATCAAAAATGTTGACTAAACATCCACAATATCAAAACTTGATCACTTCCACTATGTTTGCTATTGCCGCTATTATAATAAAACTTTATTTATATCCACACCTCAGGGTGGTTTTATTTATTTATTTACAGTATTTATATTCCACCCTTCTCACCCTGCAGGGGACTCAGGGCGGATTACAATGTACATACACATGGCAAACATTCAATGCCATAGACACGCAACATATATAGACTGACACACAGAGGCTATTTAACATTCCAACTTTTTCATGAAGGTATTCTGGCCACCAGGGGAGCTGTTGTTTCACCGGCCATTTGTGACACTGATGAAGTACTTCCTCATTCTTTGCATGCTTGCTGGAGATTTTTATGGTGTTGTAAATTAGCCTCCCCGCATAAGTGGTATCTAAATTTCCTACTTGACAGATGCAACGGTCTTTTGGGCTGCAAAGATTGACAGCAAGCTACACAAATTGGTTGGAAGCTCACTCCAGCCTGGGCTGGCTTCGAGCTCATGACCTTTTGGTCAGTAGTAATCTTAATGAAGCTGACTCCCAGCCAGCTGTGCCACAGTCCTAATTTACTATGCTCTCGTTACATCTAGGATAGACTACTGCAATGCACTCTATGTGGGGTTGCCTTTGAAGACTGCTCGAAAGCTTCAAATAGTCCAACGAGAGGCAGCCAGGTTAATAACTGGGGCAGCATACAGGGAGCATACAACTTCCATGTTACGCCATTGGCTGCCAGTTTGCTACCGGGCACAATTCAGATTGCTGGCTTTGGCCTATAAAGCCCTAAACGGCCCTGGCCCAAATTACCTGTCCAAACGCATCTCCCCCTATGAACCATCATGGAGATTAAGATCCTCAAGGGAGGCCCTGCTTTCCGTCCTGCCATTGTCACAGGCACGATTGGTGGGGACAAGAGACAGGGCCTTCTTGGTGATTGCTCCCCGGCTATGGAGCTCCCTTCCTGGTGAGATCAGGTCACCCCCCCCCTCCTGTCCTTTAGAAGGATGGTAAAAACTTGGCTGTGGGACCAAGCTTTCGGAACAGGGCAATAAAGCAGCAATAGGAAAGATGACCAGGCCAATTAGACTTGACACGGATGACTAGGATGATTTTAAATGGTGTATTTTAATATTTTGATAAATGGGTTTTTAAATATTTATGTATGTGTATGTGAATTTGTGACCTGGCATTGAATGTTTGCCGTGTATATGCTGTACTCCACCCTGAGTCCCCTTCGAGGTGAGAAGGGAAGAATATAAATGTTTTAAATAAATAAATTGGTGTATAGGGTAGGTAATGATAGTGTGAATAAATTAAATTTGGTTGAGATAGTACTTGTAGTTCTGGAGGAACTCTATTTTTTACTTTCCAAAGACTTAACATAGGAATTTGGTTAATAATCAAAATTCATGAGTGAACCAGTTTTTTAACTTGATTTTTTTGGAGGTGGAGTGGGTGGGAATTGGACGTATATGCACTCTTCCACCTTGGCTATGGGCTTTGCTCTTAGGACTTCATCCCACAAGTGGGGAAAAGCAGATGTAACTGTTTTCATTGTGTGGTGTTTCATGGGGTTCTGCCTTTAAAGAATACGGGGAATTCTTTTTGAGACACCACCTTCCATGGAATCCTTCCTCCCCCTTAAGCTGAAGAAGGCAGTTGACAAACAGAAATTAAAATCTAAAAAACATATTTTATAAGTGCTGTTTCACAAAGTTCATACTGACAATTGTCAGCTATAAAGATGATTATCAAGAGAGTAATGCTGAGGAGGAGAAATAGCGAGCACGGCTATGACCAAATAAAACCAGCAGGGTTCAATTATCATGATGTTATTTAATTGCAAACCTGAGAATCCGCAGTTGGAGCTCAGGTGTACCT